TATATATATATATATATATATATATGTTTCTTCATTTAATCATATATTTGGTTTCTTAATTAGAATAATTTATCTTCTATTTGTTGAATGAACTAAAGCTTTAGGATGTAATAACGATAAGATTATATTTACACTGCGGATTTCTATGTGAATTTTTGAAAACATAATTAATAAAGTACATTTCATGTACTTTTTCATATTATATGTACTCTGCAATTTTTTTTCGTGCCTTTAAATCTCTCGTAAATACATAGAAATCTGTAGCGAGCTTGATAATAATCTGCTGTAAATTCGATAATAAATAGTACTTGAGTGGGTATGCGTTATTCGTACAGTTGTACACTGTAACTTCGTTATTAGGATGTCGAGTTACATGCCATGCGGTACACAATATCATGTTAACCACGAAATCGATAGGTACTATATCCACGTTTGCGTTTTTCTTAGCTGGTATTACCTTTACAATACCCATGCCGATTTGCATAAACAAACCTGTAATAGAAATTATTGATTATTTTCGGCTATGGTTTAGAGATAACGATGTAATTGTAATTGAACATTTAACTCTCTTACATGAGCAAAGAATTAAGAAGAATAGACGAAGTACCTAATTATCGTCTTATTGTTAGTAAAACTACTGTTAGACGTTTATGTACTATTAATATGTCATGAACCTTACTTTCTCGAGTAACTTTCAAGAGATTTTAAATGTCGCTTGTTGTATAATTAAAAAATTATAACATAAAAATTTTTCATATAAAATTGCTTTGCTCTACATAAGTCAGGGTTAATAGTTTATTCAATATTCAGTTAAATATCTCGAAAAATCGTTTACGAAAAATCTCGAAATAGAAAATATCGAAACGGAATAGCGTGAGAATATTAGAATATATACATTGGACCGAAGTCCAAGAAATACGAAAGCTCGTAGTTGCAACTATTATGAATAAGAAATTTCTTTATAAAACAGAGGCGTGAATAAGTCGAAAATAACCCAAACTGAATTGGATAAGACGAGTTTTTCATTTTCGCAGACGCTTCTCTCAGAAATATATATCAAAACATATTCAATAAGTCAATCTCTTGAAAGAAATAATCAGTTTAAATGAATATTAAATTAGAGATTATATTTATAAATATTTATAAATCATTATTAACTATTTTTGTTCAAATTAATATATACTAGTATATTTATCAAATTAATATATTAACATATTTATAGTTATCTATAAAAATACTTGTAACTCCAAAAATATTGTCCAGCCAACCAGGACATGGATCTTCGATCGAGGCACCAATTATGCTTGGTCGTACTATAGCAATAGGCAAAATATCGCTATTGTTAAATATAATCTGCTCTGCCAAATTTTTGGAAAACGTGTACGTGTTTGGATAAGTTTTCAAAATGTTTTCTTGCAATAGATTGATCAATGTTTCGTCTCCATATTCACATATGTCAATCACTATAGATGGTTTCAAACTTGAGCTGCAAAATCATTAGTAACAAGTGAACATACCTATCGCGCTGCAATCATTGCTAATTGTTAAAAAAGTTACAGGCTTTTATGCATTAACGAAAGATTTGAAAAATAATTTGCAATATATCCGTACGTGTAAACTTTCTCCTCGATCTCTGGAAAATGCGCATTACTATAAGCTGTACTTATGTAGATAATGCTGATTACATGCTTCAGTTCCTTGCATAGTTGGATTATGCGTGCAGTACCTGCTGTATTTATATTGACAGCCACATTCAATGGTTCATTGAATTTCACAGTGGCCGCCGTATGAAACACTATGTTCACATTCTCCGTCAACATAGTCCTATCTTTTCGCGAAAGACCTAAATCTGGCAGACTTATATCACCCTGTACGGGGTGAATCTTGCTCAAAATCGAGGGATGCTTTACTCTGATGCTGTCATAAATCTGAAGATGAAAGGATGTAAAATTAATTTTCGTCGTGAGATGTTTACAACTATACTACGTTATATTAGTTTCTAAATCTTCGGACGTTCCATACTCGCGCATCAAATATGAATTGTACATGAAATCATATTCAATCATATTCAATTAATTTCTTTTTTTATTTCCAATTAATTAATTTCATTTATCTTTTTATTTCCAATTAATTAATTTCTTTTATTTCCTTTAATTTGTTTAGTCTATTATTTCATCTTCCGGAGATAAAATCTTTTCGAGTAAACTTTATTCTTCTCTTCGAAATATTCCTTTCTATTCTATTTAGTTCTGTTAAGGGAAATAATATTTTAACAATTTCACGTACGCATACGAAAGCATAACTTTAGTATTAGAAGATTATTTGGTAACGTAGATTGAATTTTAAGGTAAACTACCTACTAAAATCTTATTTTACATTTAACAATAAGAGAATAAGTAGGCGAGTTGTTCGAGAAGATACATTGATTAATTCCATAAATTGAAAGGTAGAGAAAACTGATGTTGCTCTAGACAATTAATAGACATAAAATTAATTATTAATATCTTCGTTACACGGCTGTGTAGTGACAAACTCACGGACGAGAACAGGTGAAGTGCAAAATATCTTCGATCAACACTGTTTTATGATGAAATATAACTGAATATAACTGAATATAACATGTTTCTAACGTTTAAACAAATATATTTCATGTTTTAAAATTCAACGAAAGGAAAAAAAGTTATATTATTAATTCAACTGCAATTGTCAACGACAGTCCATTTGATGTTCACAAATATTGCTCGATAATCGTATCAACAAGTTTAGTCTCTATTGCACAGTAAATAAGCTTATGGAAGTATGATTCCTCGAAATATTACCATTAAATAATGAAATTAAGAATTATTCAGAAGATGATTTATAAGAGGCTAAGATGTAAAAAAACAGTGACAGTATTAAGTACTAAGTATTAAGTATTAAGTATTACGAACGGGATCATTTATGAGCTTCTGAAATCGTTGTTCTATTGTTTGGTTTTTCTTTGGACGAATCAGGAGAAAAATGGTTTTGATGCTTGAGCATACACGCATTAGTTTCTGCAAGATGCCTTTCCCTAAAAAACCTGTCGCTCCCGTCACCAAAATCGTAGTATTATCATAGAATGCTTCGATGGAATTCGCCTTCAGTTTCTCACTAACATTATTTTCATTAACATCATTAACTTCTATGTTCAGTCTAGCCATGTTGCAGACTCTTCTTCTTCAGTCGCAATATCTACAACTTAATAACAAAAAAAAAAAAAAAAAAAAAAAAAAAAAAAAGAAAACGATACTTAGGTCGTTGAAGTTTTTTGAAAAAAAAATTATTTAGTACAAAAGGGCTATAATGTAAGAGCAATGATTTTTTTGCAAAGTCCACAATTTTCGAGAAACAAAAGTGTTCTTACTTTTACACTTGCTGCATGATGTAAAAATAAATATCTTTGAACGAGGCAAACTCAGAATTACAGTGAAGACTTTACTCTTTAATAAATAAGATCAAGTTAATTGTTCTACAATCTCTCTTTACGAAATTATAATAGTTTAAATATACTTCTATGTAATATAACTTTTTTCATATAAAATAAATTTTAGAATAGCATATTTCATATTTTTTATTTCAGGTGAACCCAGCGTTACAGTCGTAGTAAAAAAGTTTTGAATTTAGTTAATTTAATTCCTTTTCATTTCATGGACGAAGTACTTGTGCTGAACTTTTAACGAGAAATTTTGTTTGGTGCGAAATCACACGCTTTGAATTATTTCATGTACATAGGAAAATAAGATTATTAGTCATTTAAAAGTAAAAAAATTTCTTCGTGATTAATCTCTGCCAAATGCAGTATTTTACGAAATTATTTTATATTTCGTCGAATTGATCAAGATATCAAGTACTTACAAGTGAAAAAAAGAAACATACATATAAACATATAATATGCATATTTGAACTATGAATTAAATATTTTTGTTGCAATAACCAAATAAACAAACGATGAAAAAATTTACATAAAATATTTACAGTTCCATCATCAATATCATTTAATTTAAATCATTTCTTGTCTTTGATCGAAACTTTACATTACATTAATATATGTTATGTTACATAATATACGTTATACGTATATTATGTTGTAATAATATTATATAATATTGTTATAATAATATTATAATAATATTATGTTGTAATATACGTTAATGTTCTTTATTCGTTTCTTGCATTTTACATGATAGGAACAATTGTCCATTTCTACCGAATGAATTTTTTATACAGAAAATAAGCTAAATTTTCCCTAATAAACGCTTTAAGGTGCCTATTATTTAACCACTGAGATATTTGTAATTATGAACGGACTTCCCTTCTTAAAATCATAAGAAAATATTGCATTTTCTAATCTACCAGAAGTACATTACATTCTCAATCCTTCCCGATTGATTTCTCGTTTTAATAATACAATAAAGTATTATCAAACGAAAAAGCTATACCCATCGAAATAGACAGGTAAAGAAAAATTATGCACAAAGTACATAATTACCCAAAATCAAAATACAGGAAAATTCAGCAACTTACCTTAGTTGTATTGTAGTTCTAGTATTGTTGTTCTAATTGAAAACACAACTAAATATACAATGCCAGAAAATGGTCCACGATCTTCAATTATCTGTTGCTATTTCCACTGAAGGGTGTTTTAGTGAAGGAAAAGCAAAGAAATTGCGGTATTCGCGATAGTGAGACATGTAATAAATTTCTTCAGCTGCGAATGGTATTTATATGCTTCGTAAGACCGTCCCACTATTCTTATTAAACATTATCTTAACCTTCATATACGTGTAAGCTTCGTAAGCTTGATTATAGCAAGCAAGTATGCAAATAATAACTATTTTTAACTTTATATCTGTCAGTAAGGTTAACAAGCTCATTTCGCATGCAAATGGATTTGTTTATAATTGAAGGTACATGGAGAAATTAAATTAAAAAGCCGACATACTAAAAAAAATTACTGGTTTTTTTAGCGTACTACGTTTAGACAAAGGTGAGTTGGGAAAGTACTGAATGAACCAGCAACATGATTTTCGAGATCCGTTACAGTGTTGTCAATTTGCAATACCGAAATGTGAAGCCTGATTATACAAAGTAAAATGATACAAGCAAAATATTTAATTGTATATATCCAGATTCCGAAACAGGAGATTAGTATCTGAAATTAGTCCATTTTTTATTATGTATTTATGTGTGTGCCAGAGAGAGCTCTATTTGTCTTCTACGAATTCATCGATTGGTTTTTCGTTGGAAAACGATAAAATCAATGCTTATTGGTTTTTTATTTATTTTAACAACAGGATCTTTTATTTATTGAAATATATTAAGGGACGAAATATATTCAATATATTTTTAGAATGGACTTGATATTTAATCAAACGGCAGATATATAAAAGATTTATCATTTTATCAAATCATATTTTTTGGAAATATCCGTCAAAATCTAAAGTCTACGGCCTTCTACAATATTTAAAGATGCATTATACATGTTATCGTGATAAAATTCAATCTATAATTTTAGAAATCGACGATCTCCCTAACAACTCAACAAATTCTTTAATTTAAAAGCTAAGTCACGATCGCAGCCGACTGCTTTACATTATTTGTTATATAATTCACAGTTGTATCAATAATTGTGACAAATAATAATGACTGGTGTCACCACGTTGCTACGTATCGAAACCCATCCACACATCTTTTACTTGAAAAAAACTTTATTCAACAAAAAAAAGAAAAGAAACTCGTCTTGATATACGACTGCAAAATGTACACAATTCCTTATTGTTCGGGCGATTTCCCATAATTCTAATCATTAGAATTATGCGTATTGTATAGGAAAGACGTTAGGCTTCTCGTTCACATAAAGTGAATTTATATTATTCTATTTTTAGGCTTATTCGTTTCTTATGCTGGCAAGAGGTTCTAATGTCTATCACGTTCTATTGCTCTCTGTTAGTTTATTGTTCTCTGTTATATTTGATGTTCTTTAAAATTTCCTTAAAAAAGTTCGATCACGAACAACTCTGTTGCAGATCATCTAAAAACAATGTCTTGGTACCAATTTCTACAGGACACTAAACAGGCTCGCGGAGTCTATCAGAGAGAATCTATCTACGTGATGACCTGGATCTAATGTAAGAAGAAATATTCAAAAAAAATCTCCAATGGAAATATAAATTAGATCATGATTCAAAGCGCAAGAATGTTCAATATCCTCGCGCTAAATAAAAAACATATGCTGAAGAACAGAAACATTCGCTGCAAGTGACCAATGACAAAATATTATAGCGGCTAGCACATGTTTGAAAAAGTTATTATATTATAAAAAGATTGTTAGGAGAATTGAAGAGAATTGAAGGATTTGAGAGGATTGAAGAGAATGTTAGGAGAATACGATTTTTTCCCACGTAAATAATAATGACGCTGATAATCTGTGACCGTAATTTATAAAAGTTATTCTCTCAGGCTTCTTGTGCTACTTGAAGTCCGTATATGCTGCTTGTGCTGCTCGTGATATGCAAATATTTTAAAACTTTTTATTTTCCTTATTACCATAAATTGATTAAAGAGTGCCAAGGAGATCATATTCCATTCGAAATACATTGAAGAACGCATGAAATCTAAAACTTACGTAATAGTAACGTAAAGGAAAGTTGGAAATATTTAACATATTAAAAACAGTAAACCATGTTATTTTATTTAATTAGCTCTCAATAAGTAATAATAGACAATACTAGTAACCGCACTCATTAAGGATACAAACTCTATAGTTTTTGAAAGATTATTTGAAAATCACATTCCTATGTAAGTTCAATTGTTCACATATGGCTACTATTCCGAAAAATATCGAACGTTTCACGTCGATCAATTTTCAAACAGTCAAGATCAAAATAATTTTTTTACCAATCATTTCATTCAATTTGTTACTATGAATTCATATAAAGATTTCAAGTTATTCTTTTACGGGAACATGTTTCACTAATATACGATTGATCAGTTAAAAGCCACTCGTCAAAGTGACACAACATTGTATTGCAAATTTATTTTAATTTTCAAACAGGTTTCGCATCACTTTATTTATAATTGTACATGAATTTATTACGACATATGTATTAATTTTTAAGTTTATGTAAATAACTTCATTATTCATTTCATCTCATTAAAACTTGTTTCATTTACGTATTTCTAAAGAACACGCATAAACACGCTGACCTCTTTTTGCTAGCGGTAGTAATAATGATTATTACTAATAATACTATTATTAGTATTAAACTGTTAACATTAATAATAATGACGGTGGTGAGATGGTGCCTATCGCAGCACTTGTAAATGTTGAAAAGAACAGCACAGAGGATATCGTTTCAATTGACAAGGAAAAGTGTTGTCCCTATACTCCAAATTTGATTGTGACTACTTTTGCGTTTATTATCGGAGAATACGTAATTGACTTGTTATATACGTAACTGAGACGTTATTAATATTTCAGGCTAATAATAGAGCACCGATATTCAGCAGAACGTTGCAACAATCGTTGTAGCAACTTCGGGAAATTTTTGTGGTCGATAATGATACGACGTTTATGCGGTAATACTTGCCTGTCGAATAAAACGATTGACAGTAAAATTTAATGAGCAAAATTGCATATTGTGGGAATAGTAATAACGAGCCTCGAATGTAACTACAAAACTATATTGATTTCTATACATAATAATAACTGAGCAGTCTTTTATAGTATATAAATCGATACTACAGCATTACTAACTACACACGATTTCTCTTAAAATAGTTGTATTAATTAAAAATACTGATGTTTTACAAACTCGAGTTATGGCCAGTAAGAGAAAGAGAAATATGTATGTGTAACTCGTTCAGTGATATCGACTTATCGTGCAAAAAAAAAAAAAAAAAACATTCTGACACCTTTACATTCTCCACCAGGCTATTAAGGAACATGTCTGTTCCAAGGCTTTTGGCAAGTGTAAATCAAGGGAATCAAGTCATAATTATTCATTATCAAATAATCAATAATCATTAATCAACAAGAATAAGGAATCAATCAGAATAAGGAATCATCAAGCACGGTATGATTTTAATTATCACATAATTATGATATATACTTCAGAACGTCTTGTTAGTTGCTTATGCAACAGTCTAGCGAGTTTTGTTTCCCAATGTACATTTTACATTGATGTATTGATTCATACGTTACTTACCATTTTTGTACAAGTTGTATTGTCCACGATTCAGCTCGGCAACATACTGCAGAAAGGGTCCATCGCATTCGCTTGCAATGCAAGTCCATCCAACCGGATATATACAAAACTCTATTATTGCTTTACCATTACCATTCGTCGTGCAAGTATAAAAACAGAGCCTCTCATCATTGCATCAAGCACGAATCCGCAATCAACAGGGTTTGTACACGCTCATTATTGTACAGTCAACTACTAAGTAACGCGGTCATGTTGGATCAAAGCATTCACCTTTCAATTCAGACTAGATCTATCAAACTGACAGCTCGCGAACCAACATGATTCCCCTCTTCGACAGCCATTGGGAAGGAGCCCTCATTTACTTACCTTTCTCCGTCGTTTCTTTCTTTCTTTTTTTCTTCTTTACGAGACACGTAAGCCCCGTCACATCACACGAGCCTTGCCGTTGCATTTCAACCCGATTGCGCAATTCTCATATATACGAAATTCTTTAGAAGAATCAGCGATATCAGAAATTACCAGGGACACTTTTTACTGCTCCTTCCTCCACCTGCCCAAAATTTCACGATCAGAAAAGACTGATTTTCAAATGATTTATTTCATTTTTGATTCAAGATAAAGTTATTTTCTTTAATATTATTTTTAAAATAAAAATAACAAATAAATGAAAATTATTCATTCCTATTTCTTTTTTATCTGTATTTAATTAAAATACGTGAAATCTGTCGACGACACTAACTGTTTATGCTTCTTCTCAAAGAATCCGAGGAGACTTGGGAAAAGAAGTATGTATAGAATTAAAGTGTTTATATTTCATTTCCGTATGATACACATATTGCAACATGTATCTCGTATATAAGAGGGCTAACAATAAATGAATTGTAATAGAAGAATATCAAGAGCATCTCACGAATAAATAATCTCTACTTATATATATAAATGTATATTTTTGTACATTTCACGTACCTGTACTTTTCTCTTCTTTAAATTATTGTTTATTTAGTATCGTTTTTGAAAAGAAACGAAAACTAACAATAAGACAAATATTCCCAACTGTAAAAATCTGTTCGCAGTATACTCTGAAACAACAATGACCTAAAGTTCCATATACGTGGATGTTTCGACGTCCCCCTTCCGAAGATTCCGACAATACGTCATCAATTAATTCCGAGTAATGATAGAGCTTAGGTATAGCTTCAATATGCAGAAACATTGTAACAAGCGCTATCGGAGAAACATTTTCTTATGAACGAATAATTTTCTTATCACGAATTTCTGTAATCTCACCTGTCTAGCAACATTTAATAAGCAAAATTACAATATACCTAGCAATATCGAATGCCGAATATAAGTACAAATATCATATTGATTTCTGGAATACTTCACAGTCTCGACAGTCTTAAGATACGCGGCTCTTTTTAAGACGAATTGCATTCGTTAAAAAACGCAGACGGCTTTTTAAGACAAATTAGAAGTTACAGCCAGTAAGGAAAGAGGATTTGTTTCAAATTCAAATTCAAAATATTCTACTCTAAACACATTAATAATTTCACTGCGAATAGTTGTGTAAATTTATACTTTTGCAAATGTGCAATGATTTACATAAATGACGAATTAATCAAACGTTCTAAATATTGTTGAAAGCATTACATTACAGTGCTATTTGTATCGTGTAACTTTCATATTTTCCCGGAAATTGTAAAAATCGTGTCACTCATTCGCGCTATTTATGATTAGATAATTATGGTAAACGTGTACTGTTAATTAAATTCAGTTCATCACTTGATCAATCATGCAGTGTCAAAGATTCAACTATTTTTGAGATTTTTTTCATAGAATTATTACTACTGATGAGCGATAACGATTCGAGAACGTTTATGATATTAGTAAAGAAAAATAAATATTTTCAGTTACAGTCACTCGTCAAACTAAAATTGTTTATATCACGCTCGGCGAAAGATTGTCGATATCTTAAACTTTGTGAGAAAAATCGTAGAAAAATTCACTTAGCCTCATTTTAAAACGTGCAGTCTTTATTTTTACAGTTCTCCTTTCTCAAAGATATTTACACAGCGGATGCTTTGCCCTCAAAATAATTAAACATCTCTAAAATCATTGAATTTTTTTATAATTAGATCTATCAAACTACTAAACAATAATAACTTAACAGTATATTGAAACATTTGACAAATTGAGTCAGCGTAAGTTAAGAAATGGATCCTAGCTAAATATTTTTTATCTAATATATACATGTTATACGATACATTATTTATATTTTACAATATATTTTTCATTGTTGCACTTAATATTCATACTTTTTCTCGGATATAACATCCTAGCATGTCTGACATATATTTTCGTATTATTCATATTTTTCGAGATATGCGAGTGTTCTGAGTTGAAGACAGACATACTGTATATAAAAGCTCACGGTCTGCATATCAGAGATATCAATGCTCTTTGTGGTATCTAATATAATTTGATTTGGATTTTTCCTTTATTAGTGTTACAGAAAACAGATAGTCTTGAAATATTTCATATTCCTTACTATAAAAGAATCACAAGATACATTCAACTTTTGGGGCAAGATCCACGTCATAAAGCTAGCACTAAAAATATTATTGTAATTGTAGTGACGATTAGTATTGCAAGCATCATTTTTCCATCGGTAAGGGTAACATATCAATAACTTTTTAGAAATGTGTCATTGATAAAATATGGAAATCTGATTGAATGAATATTATCTAATAAGTCAGAAACTAGGTAATATTGGAACCTACAATTTATTAGGCAATAGATATATATACGTCGTTACGTAACAATGACATGGACGAAATGATTGAGTGTCTGCCAAATTTCCTTGCATCTACAATCAGTGCTATTAAGATATTAAATATACATTTCAACAGGCAAAGCGTGCGAAAAATTCTTTTTATATCGAGAAATTCTCATTTGTATATAAAACATAAAATTCTGTTATTTTGTAGTTTAACAAATTGTTTCAATTAATAACGGAACAATGGAAGCAGTTGGAATTAAATGGCGAATTGCACGTTCTGGAAGAAATCGTCATGCAAGGCAACAAAATGGCGCAATTTTACAATAGTACATGAAGATGACCTGATTTTTAATATTTCTAATATTTTTCAAACTAAATAATTTACGTTATATAAAATTATCTACACATGAATAACCAATCATATTCTTTTCAGGTACTTTAGTAACTTTTTTAATATTCTTCCTGCTGGTTCCGTTAATTTCTCCCCTTTTAGATATCATTCATCCATTAAATGAAACTCGAACACGACAACAATTATTCAAAGTTAATTACGTATTTTTTAACCACAACAATTATTTCTTCTACGTATATTTAGAATTATTTTGGGCCTCAATCATTGTTGTATTAACTGTAATTGCTGCAGATTGGTTATACATGTTAATAATTCATCACAATAGTGGATTATTTGCAGTGTGTGGGTAAATATCATAATAATATACGAAATGTAGATTATTCCTAATTATTCTCATATATTCTTAATCATTATCTTCTGATAATGTATGAATATGTATAAATATTCTTATTAATTGTTATGTGATGCATACTGTAGATACAAAGTTCAGAAAGCAGTCACGACTCCAAATTACTCTACTGATGAAACTGTTTTGGAGAATTATATGTACCAGAAGCTTCGAAGTTGCGTGATAATACACAATGAGGCCATAGGGCATGTAGTTATTGAACAATTAAAATATATAAAATATGAGTGAACATGTGATAAAATAATTACTAAATGTCACTAATTTACGTTTTCGTTATATTTAAAGATTTTACAAGTTATTGAACGAGTGTAGTCAAGGCAGTTACTTTATTCAAGTTGGATTGAACATGTTGGGTATAAGTGCTACAGCTGTTCAAGTAAAAGCAAACTTTTAAACGACAAAAGATAAAAATTAAAAATATTTCCAGGTAATTAATTGCTTTATTTTATTTTTCAGACAGTTATAAATTTAGATAAACCTAAGGAAGCTATACGAAATGCTATATTTTGTGGTGGAAGTCAATTTCATTTGTTGCTACTCAGCTTGCCTGGCCAGGTGCTACTAGATAATTGCTCTGCTTTAGAAAACAATATGTATGTAGTATCAGTTCATTCGTATAAAATAGAGATATCAATCATAGACTAAAATTCATTATTCGTCTCAAAACAGATACGACTCAACATGGTACAGATGTTCCCGGAAAATTCAGAAATTACTACACTTAACGCAAATAAGATGCAAGAAGTACTGTTCATTGTCAGCAGGTGGATTGTATGAAATGAACATAGAAAATTTCGGTATTGTAAGTAAGTCTAACGTCGCTATATCAACAGAAGCTTCAGACAAATTCTTTCTTGCACTTTAAAAGTCAGACCACGTGTTTCAATCCAACTCGAGTCCTTTTGCAAAACACATTTGAAATATTCTCGTGCGGTAGAAATCCAGTCAGAAATTTGAAATTCTATAAGGCACATCTCCTTTCAGTTTAGTACGATCTCTAAAACTCCGGAGTGACTTTTCGTACTTTGTATCTAAAGCTTAGTCGATATACCACGTATAATTACAGGACTTCCGTCACGAACATTGATAAACACTTATAAAGCATACTCTTATTAATTTTAAAAAATAAATTCTTATTCACTAGTACCTACTGGTATATAAAAAGATATTGAAATATCTGTTACAAAATAAATTTTTATTTAGGGAATATATTCATAAAGGCATGTAGAATAAAAACGTTTGCCACAAACACCAACAACGCAATATTACGTAATTAATAATATATACAAACGTAATTAAATGTTTACAAGGGAAAAAAGCATTCCTATTACGTTAAATACCATACAAAAAAAAAAAAAAATAAATGTATTTGTTTCACAGTAGAAAGAAAACAATTTTCATTGATTTGTTATATATTTAAAAAATTTCTTTGCAAGAAATACACAGCTGGTTCAAACTTTTATATTCGTTCGTTATATTTCTTTATAATAAAAGAGTCAAACTTTTATATTATACATTTTTGTCCCAAGAATCTTTTATATACAATCAGTGGAACATAGTCACGTTAAATAACACTTTTGAAACATAAAATGAAAAGCTTTTGCCACTGTATTAATTTATATGTTACTATATTGTCTACTATTTATAAATATTATCATTTTCAGACCTTCAAAACATGCATGTCTTACATCACAATGATGTTGTCACTGCAAAGTTGAATTTGCATTTAAAAATATGTAGTAATAAAATTCTGTTTAGTATACAATTAAACGATAGAATTAAACGAATGTGAAATACTGAATATTTTGAATTTACCTTGCATAAATAAAAATGGAAAACTATATATCTTTAATACGATGCTGGTATTTTAATCCTACATCCTAAATAATTCCATTACTTTGTATAATATGTAATAGTAATTTCGGCAAGATAAAATCTTTCAGAGTATACATAAGAGAAGTGTTCGTTCCTTGATAGAAAATTCTGAATTTTCTATAAAAGGCTAGTGTAGTGCTATGTACATTGAACAAATGTTGATGCATATATTCAAGATACACTGTTTATCAATTTTAGACTAATAGTAGGACTTTCAGCAGGACATATGATGAATGTTACCAGAATTTTAGAAAAATCGAACGATGATGCCACGAATTTATTCCGAAATGCTCACTTGTTTAGCAAAAACAAGTAATACTTAATGAAAATAATATCCCTATTTTTATAATGATCAAAATAACATGTTCTCATTTTTATAATACATTCTTGAGTAGAAGAACATTCGTAGTCACGTTTTAAAATACATGAATTTTTTTAAAACGGTTGCTTAAAACTAGTTAAAAACGGTGAAGTTTTAACTAGTTTTGTAACTCGAAGTTATAACTAAGAGAAAGAAATTTATATTGAAATAATTTGACATATGTAAATTTATATTTTTATGAATATTCCATATAATATATCGTTTATTGGATGTTTTATACAGAGACGTTTTATACACTAATTACAGAGACAAACTAAAAACATATCTTATTACAGAGATTAACTAAAACTAAACGCACGCAACTTAAAGCTAAAGCGCACGCCTCCCACGATGTCCCTGCGACATCCCTCGTTGTCCCTCGGTGCCCGCTGGGGGGTCCAATATTTTACTTATGAACTAATTGTCCCTACAGTTCAGTTTAGATCTAAACTGAACTGTAGGTTGCGTAGTTCTTAGCTTGACATCGTTTTACAAACATTAAAATTTATCTTACATCGTTTTACAATTTAGCTGGGTGACATTTTACAAAC